CCCGGCGGGGAGATTTGCCTCCCAAGCATCCCTGCCTGCCAGGGCCACGGTTCCTCCTCCGCAGGGGCTCGTTAGCTGGCAACCGAAGGAGCCTTTCCTTGCTTTGAAGGGTTACGAAACCTGGAGGAGAGAGGGAGGACGGGAGAGCTTAAAAAAGAGCCGTCGTGTGCGTCCCCCCCCGCTGAAAAGGGCTGGCAACGTGCCGGCAGCCGTTCAGGCACAGATTGCGCCTCTGCCCCCGTCCGCCCGCCAACACGCGATGCCGTGGGGTGGAGAACTTTGCTGGAAAATGAGCTTTTTAACAGCTTTTTCTCTGTTCTGTGTGTGTCCTCCCCATAGCAGCTGAGCAGAGCAGTGTGGGGGGTGCATAGGTCATGCTGCAGCCGCAGCACCCTCGAGAGCATCCGCAAAGTGGTCCAGGGCTGCTCCGGATGCTTCTTGCTCCTGATGTCTCCAGATAGATGCAGCAGAGCAGCATCTATCTGCGATGCTGGGGAGGGGGGTCAGCAGCCACCCAAACAAGCCCTCGTCCCTAAAACCCAGACCAGGGAGCAGCGTGGGGTGGTCTTCTATTAACTATAAAATTTGGGGGCTTTGGGGATGTTTTTCCCGGTGATTTTCCTCATCCCGGAGCCTGGGCACGTCAGCGGGGGATGCGGCCGGTTGGTGCTGTGGGCTTCATCGCTCCCGAAATAGAGCTCAGGGGCAGCTTTTGGGTGTCAGAGGCATCTGAGCGAAGTCATGTGGATGTTATGCAAGACTTGATGATAGGTTGTAAACAGCTATTAAAGTGATTGACGGGCCCAGGATGAAGTTTTGAGGGGGGTGGGGGGGAGGAAGAAGGGGAAAGATGAGTAATAATGATTAAAATAATTAGCAAATCGAGACATTCCATAAATTAGGGGAAAGCTCGGCGAGGACGGAGGAAGGCGCGGTGAAGAAATCGTGTTCGAGCACTTCCCCGAGCAGGGGACCGGGCAGATAAGGAGGATGCTGGGACTGATATTGAGCACGTAAAGTTTGGAAATGTGGGTTTTTTTCCAAGCTTCCGGGTGCCAGGAAGGCTTTGCTCGCTCCAAACCAGCTAAAAAGCAATTCCAGCCGAAATTTGGCAGATTTGGGTTC